AAAGAAAAAACAGTTCAGAGCAAAACAGTCAGAATAAGGGTGATCAAAGAAAGATGTTCAAGTCAATGATTGGGCTGGCTTTGAACCATCGATTCGTGAAGGAACTTTACAATAGGCTCCAAAACGAGCTCAGTCCTAATTAGATCTAGTATTTCTAGCAAGTCAAAACGAAAGGCAACAAGTGATCATATTGCAAGACAGGTAGAAAACAGTTTTGATAAAACACATGAAACTTAATCGTTGTTCTCTAATTCTAAACAAATGTCCAGTGACTGTGTCTATGGCGGAGCACTCAAAAAAAAAACATAATTATGAAGAAAAACGCAATTCTAACCTCAGAAAGGAGAGTCAGACGATCTTCGAGTTCTTGTATTGCCACTGGAGACTGCGCTTGGCCCAGAACGTATGCAACTTCGTGCCGAAACAGCGCACTGTCTTCACAGTAAAGACCTTAACAGATGACTAAAATACTTACGTACAAAAAATATACTCAAAAGAGACATCCCAGAGAGTTGTTACTCCAAAGCAAACCTTTGGCAAGAGCTTTTATCGACTCGTCTGTGTTGATATTTCTTAATTTGAACATGGCACAATAACGATCCCAAAGAGGTTTCGAATTATCCACAAGCGTTCCACCAAGTTCGTTTACGTCATCAGAGGAAGCTGTCGAGGTCGGATCTGAAGAGCAGAGTGGTATTCGAACCAAAGTACTCAATTTTTGACTTTTCCATAAGAGTTTTGCTGGAGCCAACCTATGCTTTGGTACGGGCTTTCTGTTTTATCCCCACTTGAATTGACTAACTCAATCCTCCGAAGGGCCAGTTCGCAAGTCTGAGCTATTTCTTTGCATGGATCCTGCAAATACGCTTCATTCCAATTTGGAAGAGACCAAAAACAGAGAAGAATATAAAGAAAGACTACCTTAGCGTATTCTTCAAGAACATTTCGAGCCGATAAATCACCAATTGCACCGAGAGCTTCACCGGCTTCGTGACGGACTATTGGTTCTACAAAAAGGTTTGTAGATATTTGTAAACAGTTAGATGTGCAAAATACCTTGTTTGGGATCTCTGAGAACCTCGGTAAGTATTGGGATGGCAGTTTTGTTTTGCGTTTGACCAAGGCAATAGGCCAATTCGTGCTTGAGCAAAGCAGACTCATCGTGGAAACACTTCGCAATCCATTTCACTGACAAATCGCAGCCGATATTCCGTAGTATAAAGAGAGCTCGGAATCGAGCTTTAAGGGGTTTGCTGGAAATATGCCAAGAATATGACAAATAATCAAAGGATACAAATCCTCAGCGAATCTGTTACCTTGTATCGTTCAGTACAGTACCGAACCTATCAATTTGTTCCTGAGTAAACGTCATAACCATTGTTCAAACAGTAAAGAGAGGTTACCGCAATCTGAACTTGCCGAAATTTATTTAGTNCAATCCATTTCACTGACAAATCGCAGCCGATATTCCGTAGTATAAAGAGAGCTCGGAATCGAGCTTTAAGGGGTTTGCTGGAAATATGCCAAGTTTATGACAAATAATCAAAGGATACAAATCTTCAGCGAAGCTGTTACCTTGTATCGTTCAGTACAGTACCGAACCTATCAATTTGTTCCTGAGTAAACGTCATAACCATTGTTCAAACAATAGAGAGAGGTTACCGCAATCTGAACTTGCCGAAATTTACTTAGTGCCGGAAAATAGAAGGTCTTAGGTGAGTATGCAGACAGTGACCTTCGACGGCTATTTTTAGCAAGCTACAGTAATCTCAATGAGTTCCCGGGTAATTCAGTAATTTTGGGCATTTTAGCTTTAAAATTCAGTTTAAAACATTTTTTGGTCATTCTTCCAAGCCCATACAGGCATTGGTTTTCCCCTGTAAGCATGGGAGTCCTGATGCGAAACATGGAAATAAGTTCCGAGGTGGGGGTGGGGCGCNGCTGCCAACTCGCTAGGCCGCGACGCGTAGGCTCACGCGGACGAAAAGTACACTCTGGGTGATGGCTAGCACACCTCTCTGAACTTCCCTACATATATTATGCAGATTTTGTATTCGATCTAAAATGCTTCTTTCCGACATCAAGAAGGAAGAGGACGACGACGTCATCGACATCACTCAGCTACTGCCCAGCGATGATACCAATGACAGTCTATTTCCTAGCCAGCCAGCCTCTCCCGCTCCTGGACCGATTCCGTTCCGTGCAAAGAAATGTTCGTCTGCTCATTCTCATTTTCGACTGGTTCCTCCATTGCCAGGGCGTTATTCAATGACCTATTCAGCTTTACAAAGGCGCCGTCAATTCCCTGATAAGTTCCCATATAGCAATGACGATGATGGGTCAACTTTTGATGATGGCCCGACTTTTCGAGCTGGTCGTTCTTCTCAAAGGCCCCCTATTATGCTGAATTTCAGGAGCAAGCCTCGAAACAATCAAACCCCTGGCACGGTCAGGAGAAACCAATACAGAATTTCTGATGACGGGACTAAATTCACTCAGATCACTGTAGAACAACCGTCACCGATTCATTCAAGATCCCCTTCGCCGCCACGAACTTTACGCGAACTTTGCGAAACTTTTTTGAGCCCCGACGAGCTTGAAAGACTGAGCTCTAACAAGGCTCCCACTCCTCCACCGGTTCCAAGTTCCCCAAAGTCTCAACGTACATCGAAATCCAGAAATTGTCCTAGAAGCCGCCAATCTTCCTCCTCTCCATGCGCTGTTGAAGAAATCCGAAGAAAGCGTCCAAGAATCTCGAACAAGGGTAGCAGAATTACACAACCAACCACTTCAGAAACAGAAAACCGTCAATTGCTGCCTCCCTCACCCCCACCGATCCCTACCAGCAAACCTCTACCCCAACCCGAACGACTTTCCGGCCATTTGCAGCAGATTGACTCCCCTAAACGCCCACCCTCATCATTCCCTTTGTTTCCTATCCGACTTGTGCGATCGGTTGGGCTTCCAGAAGACTTGCCTTCTACCTCACTTGAGGAGGACAGGCTACATGGGCACATCCGGAGGTGCCCGGTTCAGGATCGATATCCGGGAACTAGAGAAATAAGCATGTTTGGGAAGCATGATGTTTTGCGGCATACGATTCATGGTGGCGAAAAGTGCTATGTCTTCCTATTCAAGAGATCCAACCAAAGCCATGACGTTTATCGATGTAGGGAATGCAAGAAATGCGGGTCTCTTGTCACAGTCAAGGTAAATGGGTTTTTATGAATAATTTCTAGCTTTAGATTCATTATAGTCTAAGCTGCAGTTACAGAAAATTTGTTAATTTTTATTGCGTACTGCGCTACCATGTTCCTCTTTAATAGGTTTTTTTTACACTTACGTGGTCAGCTCTTCAGGGTCCATCATTCTCATCGAACGAGTACTTTCGCGTAAAAATTTATATCATTTTCAGGTAATTGGTGATAATTTTTTGTCCGATCCGTGCGATGAACCTCATGTATGTGATCCAGTAGATTGCTTGAAAGACAAAGTGGAAAGGCTCGTATATAATGTAAGATTTTTCAACGACAAAGAACTCGAAGTTTATTGATAGAGACGGTTTTATTTGCAATTTCTACATCGCCATAATCGTTCATGTCTACATAGAATTAATACTTCTCAAGCAAAGGGGACCAGGGTCATATGAACAAAGTGTTGAACCAAGATCTAAGTCGGGGTCGATATAGAAATGAAAAACCGCTATAATCTATGGAGTTTTAGTGTAATTATGTTTGATGATGTTCGTTTCACTATGTTCGTTTCGGAAGTTTAGCCGTTCCTATTTCCGCATTAAACAACAGCTCTTAATACTTTTTACTTAGCTCTTCTAACAGTCCTTTCCGCCGTGTTCCGAAAAATTATTACTCATTTGGTTTATCTTCTACGATGGATGAGAATAATAGAAAAGGGGAAGGCCGTTTTCCTACTTAAATTACCCCGCAGCAGATCACGCGCGTTCGAATGCGGTGAGCGCGGCGCGCCGTTCGGGTAGAAAAACCCGCCCTCCCGATTTTTTTTGACTTGGATTCTGTGAATCATTTGGTGCTTTTTGTGAAGCCTTTTTCTGAAAAACCTAAGATTGGACACAGTAACGAGTCCATGTTTTCAGAAATGGAGAGAAATGCAGCAAAATCCTCGTTATGCCGACAGTGCCTGTCGAGAAGTATGGAAAGAAATGCTGGACGCTTTCGATGACGAAAGTTTGGGAGATGTAGAAGAGAGGGAGAAAATGCGTGCCATATACGAATCGTCGGGCTACGACAACCGAAGAATCACAATTGCAAGGTAGTTTCTCCGAAGTACTATAGCTTGTCTCGTTTGAGTAGATTGAACTCATTTTATCAAAAGACTTGTGATTATTAATTTCTCCTCGATAACCGCATTTGTTTGTGAGTAATACTTGATCGGATTCTTTTTTCAGAAATATAGGACGTCTCAGAAGGATGATGTATAAGGAAGCACTTGAACAAGAGGAGGAAGGTGACGATTCATTGGCAGGGGACGACGAAACTTCTAATCCTGCGCTCGAAACGGATAAAGGTTCCTTTCTATAATGTTATTCTGATTGATAATGCTGATGGTATTGACTGTCGTGGTCTAGCGGCTGCTATTCAGAACTTGCCGAAGAGTTGGTATTCGACCCTGCCTTAGGTGAAGAGAATAACACGGAAGAGTCACCACGGTCACCATCATCTTCATACATTGAAAAACTTGTTAAAACTGAAAAGTCTGATCGGTAATGTACTCATTTCTTCCGACTCGTTTACTATTCGAGGTACTTGTTGCTTTTTATCTCTCAGTTGCAGGAAGCATTTTTGTGTATAGGAAGGAAAATGGGAAAAGTAAGTTTTCCTACATTTGTTGTGATATATGCAGTCGTTAGTTTTACTTATCGCGCGTGTACATGGGTAATATTGTTTACAAAAAACTGCTTTGACAGTCTTTTACTGTTTAATCCCTCATATTACTGATTCGATATTTATGACACTTCGCTAATCTTTTGCCCTCATTATTTTTACTTAAACTATCCTTTTTTCAAACTTTTGATCAGATTTGAATTGGTTCCTACGATTTTCTGATCCATACCTTCTTTTACTCTGCTTAAGTTTAGTATATCAGATCATCATATCCCCTTGTTGTGAGAGAGGTCTTTACTAACTCCCTTTTTTCTTTGTGTTCTATTTACATTTATGTGTTTACAGTTATCCTCACAACTATCGTCTTCGCTAAAGTGTGTTAACAGGTCTTCTTTTTCTTTTCCCTTTCATTTTTTTCGTCTCCATGGGCTGGTGTGACAAACATGTTGTTATAAAGTTTCATATGCTTTTTGTAGTATAACTTTCACTATCGGAATTGTGCTAGGGGTGTGCCTGAAGGATTATATCTACAGCTTTACTATCCCTATCTCACATTCTTTCCTTTCTCTCAAGCTGAAGCCCGCTTTTCCAAAAAGCCTCGTTGATCAGAAAACCAATGTCGTTTCGGTATCATCAGGGTGCCAGAAACTTCTCCATTCACCCCTGTCGCATGTCAGAACGGTCAGCGGATGGTCCTTCATTGAGGGACACGGGGCGTAGTATTCCTTCCGTTCAGGATTTTCGTGAAGGACCATCGGCTATTGCTTACGTTTGGGAATCTAAGAACAGTAACGGCCCGACGTTCCGAGAGGTACAGCCAGTAGCTAACCTAAACAAACGGTCATTACAATACCGTATAACTTGCCCGGCACCCCATCTTCCTGGCTTAAAAAATAGCATCGCTAGTCTTCGTCCGTTGAAGAAGTTCGAGCCCTTGGGTGCATAGGGAAAGTCCGAGCATCATTTCGGTAATCTCAGAACTACTGCATTTCTATTGATAGCTCCATTTAAACCGTCAAATGTGGCTGTGGATCACCCTCCGTTTCTCGATTACATGGATCTTCCATTTTTTCTGTTTACAAATTCTTGAACGAACCACGTGATCAATAAATAAAATGTATTTATTATTTATAAATCACAAAATACATCCTTTAATGCATTCAAAAGTCATCCACTGCCATCAGTTTACAGTGATTATTCAGAACTACTACGAAAGACAAAGGAGTTCTAGTAAAAAAATTCAAATAATTGGCTGTTATAATCGTAAAACAGCTCAGCTAGACACCAGTCGCCTGATTGTAATCTTCGATAAACTTTCTGTATTTCGCCTTGTTTTCATCTGTGAGAATTGCTTCATATCTGAAAACCATCAATTACTTCACATTCCTGTCTAGATTCTGCTAGATCGGAATGTTTTTTGTATATCCGGGAGGCCAGGGATCACAAGTTCGGACCCCTTGACGAAATTAGGTCGGTGAATGTGCGACAACATATGCTAGTCGTGTCAGGACCCTTAAAATTTTCATGGACCAACGGTCCAGACAGGAATAGTCAATTTGGCCGCGTGCACGGTGACCTACTGTCGACCAAGCGGCCCAGCTGGCACGTCCCGTCCCACTCGGAGGCCTCCTGCTTGGTGTTCCCACTACTCCACCAGCTTACGTTGTGTTTTCGTTGTCTCCTTTGACAATGTATTACGAAGGTGTCAATGATGTAAAATACTTGCCTACTTCTGTGTTTTTCAAGGAAATAACACAACATTACTCGATGAATGTATAGATATTGCTGAAAAATAGGTACTCATTATTAAAGGAAGAATGCATAGGGCCAACGAAACTTTGCAGTAATCTTCAATATAAAGATGGAACCTGTTAGCGGCTTGTATGCCTACTTCAACGGAAATCAATTAATTTTCACTAGAAAGGCCATTGCTCATCACAGGGAGTCCTGACTAACGAGTAGGGGGCTCCCAGAAAAGTTGCTGTTGCTGCACGACTCGAGAAAAAGGAACAGAAGGCTCAGCCAAGGAAACTGAGCCTTCTGTTTCTTGCAAAAGCAAAATGGGAAACTGGTTTTTGGAACCGATTCGAAGGTAAGTAATACAAAAGCGAATAGAAATTGGGTTTTGGATGAGCAGCGGTACGATGGTACTCCACCACATCTACGGATATCCGGTTTCCCCCTATTTACGGCACTTCCAGGGCCATGATTAAACTCATATATAGACCGTTGTATTTGGTCGCTTTATCGTTCTGAAAACGGCAATTAAGCTGAGAGGTGTCTGTTGTGATTCTTCAAAGAGAAACGTCAAAGAATACCAAATCATTCTGAATTGTGTATGCACGTTGATTACGCAGTTCTTTCAGAAGATCATTCATTGCTGCACATTCATGTCCCGCTTGCATTCTCTCTATAAGAATTTCTGGTTATTAGCTTTAATTTCATCCATTTAAACTTCCATGCAGTTTGAATACTGTAGAAGCACTGTAGAATGTGGGTGGGGATTACTGTGTGAGGAAGTCCCCGCCCCTCCTTGTTGGAGGGATTGTCGTGGTGTTCGTGTATCCTACTATATATAACGCGCTAAGTTTGTCTGTTGGTTTGTCTNCAGTTTGAATACTGTAGAAGCACTGTAGAATGTGGGTGGGGATTTCTGTGTGAGGAAGTCCCCGCCCCTCCTTGTTGGAGGGATTGTCGTGGTATTCGTGTATAGCCCGATAACCCACCAATAAGGAGGACAACACGTCTACCATTGGCTGAACTTCTTTAAGGGAGTCATCTATCTTCGGAAGACACAGAATTCGTGTGGTGGTCCTCTGAATAGTTATCTTACCTAGAATATATTCTATAGCAACAATTGTGCCTGTCCTTCCAATACCAGCTGAACAATGTACCACAATAGGCTTACTCGTTCCACGCACTCTTGATAAAAGCTCCTAAACTCGTTGGAAATTCGCAATTTATATGTAAAACTGCTATCTGAGACAAAATAAAACATCCTGCAGAGACGGTACAATGGCGGAAGCCATTACTATCACTTGCATTGCATCCAGCCGAACAATCTCTCTTTTTTTCTCAACTTTATTAAACGGTGGTTTTGCGGCAAGTGGCGTGCTGACACACAGCCATGGTCCAGGGATTGATTCCCGCATTGATATGCTCCCAATCCACCTAATCCACTCCTCTCTCTGTGTCGGTTAAATCTACACCAGTCCTGGCTAGGAGGATAAAAGTACTGACTTCTACATCGAATGACCATTGCAACTCATTGTTTAGACCACATGCACCATCAAAACCGATTGTGAGTGGAAGTTAAATGCATGGCGCATTTCTCAGACCAAGTTGACTAGCGCCGGAAGACTTCGTCCTTTTTCCTTTATCCATGTTTCCATTCAGTTTGTATGAATTTATTGATGAAAAACTAGATTTTTTTCAAGTTTGGATCAATCCCAAAGCTGTGCATTTCATCGGACCGCGAAACCACTTCTTTCCACACTCCTACCTCGACCTGGTTTTTTTTATGTAAAGGGAAATATTTCTTATCTTGAGTATAAGTCATACCATGCTAGTGAGCTTGAGCGGTGGAACACCTCTATCTGGCCAATCCATCCATTGGTAATGACGAATTTCTCTTGTATCAAACGAACCATCGGCTTTAGCGAATCTCACACTCAGAATGTGTACCATCACTGTTTGTTCTTCTGGTGAAAGTACCCTAGTCTGAAGAAATCCCAAGTTATAACTATGCTAAAGAGAAGACGTACAAGTGTTTATTCGAACACATAAGTCATGATGAATTACGATAACTTAGGGTATTTCAGTTACTTTCGTTACGCATAGATGACTACTCTAGGCATTTTAATTTAGATTATAATAGTCTTGAGTTTGAGGAAAGCCCGTTCCAGCTTAATTCCTGTTGGAGCTCATTAAAAATAACATTTTACCGAAGCAATAAGTACGGCATGGGTCCTAGAAATTGCAGTCTATGTCGTTGATTGTCGCTCACCTGCGTATTGAAAATTTCAACACCGTTGAATTGCATTGTTTCACCGGTTTTGTCGGGCCAGTATGGATGACACTTGTATTTTCCCTTAATAGTTATATTTTCGACTGTGGTTAGACTAAAACACTAAATGTTGAGCAACCTCGGCAGATTGCGCTATGTCCGTAACCTTGCCGTGCGAAATGACTTTAGGCAAAGCCATGTTTGATAGGTGAATTTTTCGCTTACTATAAGTATACCTGCTTCAATAAAGGCACAGTTCACGATAATTCCTTGTTGCTGGCTCGCAGGGTTTTCCCGCCTCTCGATCGATGTCATGTCAGACGAGTGTCGAGGCGATACAGATTGCAAGTATTCGCGTTAGGACCCACAC